ATATATATATATATATATATATATATTTATTTATTTATTTATTTATTTATTTTCATTTTAATTTATTAATTTATATAACCATTCTATCATAATAATTTATATATTCATATTTTTAAAATAAATATGTATTATCCAAAAATAAGATAAATTAATTTGAGATGAAAGGAGAAATAAAAAAATATATCTCTGTTTTCATTTTCAATTTAAAAAAAAAAACTAAATTACATCGATACCTTTTATAAAATTGCGCACAGTTTTCTTGTATTTTCATCTTACCATAATTTTTCGATTATTTAGAAGAAAAATATTATATCACTCCTTAGAGCATCTACAGTACAGTAGTAGTATCTTAAAGATATCTATTATATCATTTTATCATATCTCACGCTGACATATTATATTTAAGTAACTAATAAATAACTTATTATATTTTTACTTAATAGTGAGATTTTAAACGATTCATAAAGTATTCACATATGTTTCTGTACATGATAGGTCTAGTAAGTGTGCAACAAATTTTTTATTGTGAGCAATCGTATATAAGATACAATACTTAAAAAAAAAATAATAAAGCAATTCACAATGTCAAATAGACTATTTCCAATGAAAAAAAAGCTTAACATATAGTTGCTTAAATTTAAGATATTTATTTTTTACAGAAAAAAATAAGATACTTTTAAGATATCATCATTATAGATGTTTTTAGATATTATACTAATTAACTCTCTTGATTGTTTGAAAAAATAAGAGATATTTACGAGAGTTGTACAATCTCATAAATTTTTAGAGAATATGTAATTTTTATTATAGGAAAAAGCATTTGTTTTTTCCTTTTAATAATATAATAAATTGGTTTATTTTTTTCCCAAAGACAATTTTATAGTAGTTGAGCTAGTTTGTCATAAATGAAAATTTTTTTATTTGAATATTTAGGTTGTTATATAACTTAGCATACAAAGTTGTATTAAACATTTACATGAGATTTTTATTATCTACTATAATAATTCATTTACATGAGAGTTTTATTATCTACTATAATAATTTTTCTAGGTTAAATTATACTTCTGTTTTTTTTATAATATCAAATTCATAATTTAAGTCTTTAAATTTTATAAAATTTATAAATTTTGTATTTTTGTGAAATGTTCATATGTTGATTGTCAAAATTATAATATTGATCATGATTTTAAATTAAATAAGTGATATAATAATTAATATTTGACCTAAATTTTATTTTTATTTATCTTTTTTATCTCATAAAAATGGTAAAATGAAATAAAATAAAATTTAAATTTAAATTAAAAGTACAATTTAAACTAAATATTATTCAAGAACATGTAGTGAAAATTACATTTTCAACACTTATCTAAAAAAGCTCTTCTTTTTTTTCCCTGCTGATTGTCTCTCCATTCTTGTCAATCATATTTTATTTTGTTAGATTCATGTCTTTCTTGAGTTATGTCTTTGTTATGACACATGTTGCAACTTGCAAGAGTGTTACATGCTAGATATTTGTTAGATTTTTTTTTGTCTTTTAAGTTTCCATTCATAAAAAATATTATCAAATATTAGTAATTATATTATTTATTTAACATTAGGTAAAAATGAATGTTACAATTTTAACAATTAATAAATATATACAGTAAAAAGTCAAAATTATAAATTATATAAAATTAAAAATTAAGAGACTTAAATTTTTTTAGTTCAACGATTATAAAATTTATTTTGAAATATGAGTGTCGACATAAAGTTCTCAAATTCAATTTTTATTTTTGTTAAAATCAGTTTTGTATTTGGATTTAACACTCTTAGTGGCTTCTTAATGTATTTTTTTTAGCTGAAAAAAAAATAAAATAAAATTTTAATTGTGAATTTTAACATAGTACATTAGCCATGTTTTTGAGAGAAAAAAAAAAAAGATATTATTTTGAAATTTGAATCGAAAAAGTATTATTACATTATCTAAGACCGTTAGATGCTCTAGACAGGAAATTAATGGCGGAGACAAAAGAAGGAGGTAATGTACTAGACACTAGTCATGTGCACATCCATTCTATACTTCCAAAACACTGCCTTCATGTTGTCAGACTCTACTTGTCTAAACACGTGTCCTACAAACCTTCATTATTGTATTTGCAAGCTGACTGGGACAATTACAGAACAAAATCAAAACAAAAATATATAATAAAATAATAAAAACATTAATAAATAAATATCACCATGTGCTTTTTAAAGTAATAAATTAATGAAATACAAAAATAATTGATTAAATATTTATCATAAAATGTAAAAATACTCTATATTTATAAATAATTAAAACCTTTCAAAAACTATATTAAATATTTTTAAAATAATATATACTACTAAATATATACTACTTGATAATATATACTACTAAATATTCATTAAAATAATACTTTTAAATTCAGTCAGTTCAAAAGTCTTAATTTTTTAAAAATAATTAGTGCAGTGTGCAAATTATTCCATTAAATTCGCATACTTCATGGATTAGACTAAAAAAATTAATCATAATTATATTGATTTGAAGAAAGGAAAAACTGTCATTTGAGTTGGATTTACATACTGTTTCGTGAATTTAATCCATCAACTCACCTTTAATCTTATCACAATGATGAAACGAGAAAAAAATTACCATAATTCAATTCAACAAGCCTCATTAGATTTACAGAAAGACAATACTTAAACTGCATTTTGGACTCGATATGAAGGTGATATTTTAGAAATAGTCAAAAGAAAAGAAATTATATATATATATATAGGCCAATTTATTTTGTTAACGTAGAATAGGGATATGGATTTGATATAAGGCATAAAAAAAATTTCAACTTCATTCTTGTTAAAAAAAATATTTTGTATTTGTTATCAAGTTGATACTAGATTTAATGAAGAGAAGACATAAAATTACAATTAAATATCAAAATTTGAGAGAATAAAAATGAAAAAATCTGACGTTTGAAAAGATCAAAGCGAAAACAGCTAAATTTAGAAGCATCAAAATGAAAACAACTAAAACTTTATAAGTTGAATTTATAAAGTTTAAATCTTGACGTGAATTAATACGATGTAAACCTCAACTCTGAGTGACTAACTAAAAACATTAAATCCTAAACATAAAATTTCATACAAGTTATTTATTGATGCAATTACCTTCATGCTACAAGAAAATATGACGAATGACGAACATTAAAAGCAAAATAAAACAAAGAGAAATTTGGGTGATTGTTCATGTTGCATGACTGTTACCAAATTATATGTTTAATTTTTATTAGTTACTAATGTATTCGTTATATTTGTTTGTTAATTATAATATTTTTAGGAATTTTTAAATTTTTTTATCTTTTTAATTTATCATTATTATTTTTTATTTCTTAAAATTAATTTTAATATATTTTAAATATATCAATGATTAAAAATATTTTTCTATCACAATATAATTTTTTCATTATAAATTTAAAATATAACTTATATCTTTAAAATATTTATTAATTACAAATTTGAATTATAATATAATTATATATTAAGATTGTTTATTATTTATAAATTTTAGTTATATAAAATGAATATTTATCACATATATTGCATTGTATATTGCATTGTATATGTTAAAATATTAATTTTGAAAAATTTAAAAGTTTTACCGACAAGATGTGACATAGTTAATCCACAACTCTGTTTTTTAAGAATATGATTCGCCAGTAGATTTCTTATATAAAAAAAATACCAATTAAAAGAAATTAAAATTTTAAAATTTTAAAAAATTCAAGTTTTATTAATAAAATATAACATGAATGATACATAACATTATCTCTTACATATGTAATTTATCCATAGATCTTATGTATGAAAAAAAAATATTTGTCAAATTTGTTTAACTCTAAATGAATATAACACTCCAAATACATAATTGGTCGTTACACCTTAGCTTCTGAACAGAGATATCCTAATTCAACGATTTTTATTGTTCTGATAGAAAACTATCTTCTGTCTTCTCCCCCCCTTCATATATCCACACACTTTCAACTATTGTTCTAAAATATAATTGTACCGAAGGTTTTAAATTTGTCTGGTACGACAGGAAATCTTCTATAAAAATCCTTGGATCCAATCCAATAGACGAATCAATATTTAACTCATCCCCTTGTATCATAAGTTCAGTATTCCAAAACTTGAAGGCTATCAATTCCAACTCTTGCATGCGTCCTTTACAACATTCCAACACGAGAGCATAGCATTGAATCAAATCCAGTGAAATGGCCAACACCTTTTATCCCCAACTCACGCTTGACTCTTCTTGCCCATCCACTTTCATCCCAAACTACAGTGCTCACCTTCAACACCACCCACGACAATATCAACATTTTTATCAATTCTCTCAACACCCAAATGAACTCCAAGCATCACAACAAGACCAACCACAATGTTTTGGATTAGTTAATTGTCCCCAAGAAGAATCCACAGCCACAATGTCTTTTTGGTAATTCCCATTTTCTATTAACTTGTTTTTATTTTTACAAAACTTTCACTCCAACCAAAATCAAAGTTAGCAACAATAAATACCTTGCGCTAATATCTATGTATAATCTTTTAGTAGAATATTTTTGTCAACTTGTTGCACTCTTTCCTTTTCGGGCATTACAATTTTTTTTTGTTTGTGTTGGTATTGCAGGAAAGCATTTGACACGGTGGTGTCTGATGCAGAAGGGGTAAACGAAAAGTATGGAGAGCTTGAAGCTGTGTACAAGAAGAGAAAAGGTGATGATAATGAAAAAAAGAGTTGTGTTGAAAAGTCAGGTGATGGAGGGATGAAGAGGGGTAGGAAAAGGAGGAAAGTGGAGAAAGAAATGGGTGCATTTCTGGAGAGGTTGGTGAAGCGAGTGATGAAGCAGCAGGAGGGTCTTCAGAAGAGATTGATGGAAGTGATTGAGAGAATGGAGAAGGAGAGAGAGGAATGGGAAGAACGTTGGAGGGTTCGAGAAACGGAAATTCAGGAGAGAGAAGCGATTGCGAAAGCACGTGAGCGAGATCTGGCTTCTTGGAGAGACTCTTCCATTGTGTCCACCATAGAGAAAATAAGTGGTCAAAGCTTCCTTCTCTTTTCCGCCAACTTATCTACCAACCATACATGAACCAACTGTTTGAGTGAGATTCTACGTAAGAGACTTTGGATTTCCAGAAATCATGTCATGTTAATTGTTAACGGATCTTTTAAGTCCTCTCGGTTAGTTGCAGTTGCATCGCTTCACCAATCTGCATTATTTTTCCTTCAATCATAATGTTTTAAGCCTGGAATTTCACATTTATGTTATTTTATTTCTTTTTCTTTCTTTCTTGTAACACTTTTTATTTGTTTTTTCTTCAACACTTTTCTTTTCTTCCTATTTTCTCTTTCTTTTCTACAGCAATGTTTGAATTCTATTAATTAAAAAATAAGCATCGTTAAATTATCATTATACTAAATTAACTAATAGTAATTTCTAATGAATGAAATAAATTAACTAATAATAAAACTTGTATAATTATTACTATCATATATATATATAGAGAAAAATATTTCATTTATTTCAAGAGTAAATTTAATTATACTTACTTTATTTACTAACTCATGTTTTATATTAAAATTTAACGATTTAATCATTGAATAATAAATTTTTAATGGATATATAAATCAAAGTTGTAAATTTAAAAAAAATAAAAATCATATGATATTTTATTTTATAAATTCAAATTGATGGATATCATAAGAGAATTTTAAATTTTATATGTTGATTTGAATTTATATAATAAAGTGTCATATGATTTTATTTTATTTTTAATTTATAAATTTAATCTATTCTTTAAGAATTTTTAATTTAACGATTGAATTATTAAAATTTAATATAAAATATGAGTTATTGAGTAGAGTAAGTATAGTTAAACTTACTCTTAAAATAAATCTCTTATTATATTTATAATTAAATTCTATAAAAAAAATTTATAATTAAATTAAAATTAAATATTAATATTAAAAAATAAAAAGTAAATGAATAAGTTGAAAGATTTAAAAATTATTTGTTTTTTTTTAATTTGCAAAATAATTACCTACAATTTAAAATTTGCAGAAATTATTTGTGAATTTTAAATTATCTTATTAAATTAATATAGACTTTTGACTTAATTCTTTAATTAGAAAATAAGTAGAAAGTTCTCAACTCAAAGATTATTTTTTTTTTCTTTAAGGTGACTCTAATAGACTCAGACCAATAATATGATTTTAAATTATATATATTGTCATATAAACATGCTGTAATTTTGTATATATAATTATTATACATTATATAGTTCATTATTTTCTATCATGGAAATCATGATTTTTATATTAAAAAAAATCACATACCATCATTTTAGTGTTTGTGGATGAATTGATTAATTGTATGTGGAAATGACAATTCAACAATGAATGTTACCTTTATTCTTAGTTATAAGATACTTCTAACTAAATTATACCTTTAAGAAAATTGGTTAATTTAGTTAAAATATTAAAATTGTTAATAATTTAAATTACTTTTAAAATTATTTTTAACATCTCTTCCATTTAATATTTTTTACTTAATTAATTAATATTTAAAAGAAAAAAAAATCTATATATCAATTTATCTTTTACGGTGAAGGATTTATTCAACTCATCCACACTAAAAGGGTAGAACCCACCATGAAGTACTTCCAAACTCATAATTGGTTTATGTTTATTGATTTTACATGTATTTTGGTTATGAGAAGATAGTCAAGATACTATACTAAGAGGTTTTTATCAATGAAGTAATCTATCATGATTTATTCACTTGCAGAGAAATTGATCAAAGATTATCATTGAAGTTGATAGGAAAATATTGGAATGTTGTAACTTGTACGAAAAAAGAAGTGAAACAATTACTATCTCTATGACTACAAGTACACTCGTGTTCAGTTTTACCCATTTAAAAGAGATTACAATGAAGTTTAAGATAAAGACTTTATTGAGGAAATTGATTAATGTATGTAATGCTCCATACCTTTAATTTTTGTTTTAGGTTCGTTTATAATTCCTTATATATTCTGTTTTGTGAAATCTGCCCGACATAATAAATTCGACCAAGAACGCAAAACATCAAGATGGTATTTAAATGACATAACATTATTTTAGTGTTTTGCATTTTTGGATGAGTTTGTTATCTAGGTCAGGTTGATACAGAAAATAATAATATTTCAGATAAAAATACTTTTTCATATTTGTATTTAAAAAAAAATAATGTTAATATTAGAAAAAATGAATGTCTCACATCGACCAGAGATTAGACAATTATATAATATATAAATAAAAAATATATTTTTTAATATTTTTATTATTAATTAAAATTTATAGGAATATACGAAATTATGAGTAAGACTTATTATATAAAAAAAATGAGACTTACAAAATTTTGTAATTTTTAATAAATTTTAATTAATTAATAATAAAAATCGTGTTAAAAATAAAACTGTATTGTTCACATTTTTATATAAAAAAATAAGAGTTTATTTTACAATGAAAAAAAAGCAACTTAAAGCAAAAATTGCCTTTCATATCATATAAAGAGAAGGAAAAAAAACAAATCCATGCTCCAAACTCAGCTTAAAACATTGAGAAATTGGTATTTTTTTCATAAGTTTAGTGCAATAGATAACACAAACGACAACATTACCCATCCCAATATAAAATATCCAACCACTCTAGTTGGTCCAACATCCTCGGGTTCCTGCCATGAAAAAGATAAAAGAAAAGTTAGAATGATTCATTAATTCCAGTCCCACTTTCATCTTATTTTCTCATTTTTTATTATTATATTATATCACTATTTCTCTTTCTTTTATTTTTCTCTTCTATCCACCCCATTTTAGGTGAAGTTAATCACTACTCAAGAGGACATACTGCTTCTGGACTCTCGAGTAATCTACTATTGTTGTTCTATGCAATTTTTTAATAATCTATTTAACATTATTTTTATAAATAAATATATTTAATATTATCAAAATATAATTTTTTAATATTTCCTTTATTCAGTCATTAAGAAGGTTATTGACAAAGACTTACATATGAATTATTTAATAAGTATTCTTGTTTCAGCATATCCTATAATTGATATTATATCAATTCCGTTTTTCATAATAAAATAAAGTTTCACATATAAAAATGTTATAAATTTTTATTGAACTTTTTTAGTTGGAAAGTTTAAATTAGGAAGAGATATGCGATTTTATGCATATCTATCTTTTAAAATATACTTCATTTATTCTATATCATAAAAAAAATGATTTTACACATATTAAATAAGTTAATATTTGTATTATTTTCATGATATTTTTCTTAAATTATTCTTATTATAAATGTTAAAAGAAATAATGTTATTAATGAAAGGTAATTTATTTATGGTCCCCAATTTTTTTTTGGTTATGCCATAAGTATCCCCAATCCATAGAGACATAAACTAATTCCAATTTAATTAAATTTTGAATCTATTTTTATAAATTTAATTAAAAAAATCATGGTAAAAAAAATTAAAAAAATAGATTAAGTTCTTTACAATTATTATCAAGTTTTCAAGTGAAATAATGACATTGTGTATTTGGTTGGAGTTTTTTTTTCAAAATTGTTGAATTCAAATTTTAAATTTCTCCTCGTTTTTTTCCTTCCACCGTACCATACAAGTGTTTAGGTTATATGTTTAGTTGAATGAAAAGAACCATAAGAGTAGAGAAATGAAAAAAAAATTTAATTATTTTCCACGATTATCCAACCAATTATGGTCAGATTTAGTTTCCTAAAATATATGGGCTTAAAAATTAAGTATATTAATGGAGGATTTATTTTGTAGCAGATGGATGAAAGGTACCTGTGGTGGAGGATCTTCTTTTGGAACTTTTGTCTGTGTTATGTCAACCTCGAACGGCCAAACGAATTCCTCTCTATTCTCCACTCTCGCCAAGCTCCAGTCGTATATTCTTCTTTCTTCTTCCGATGACAGAATAGTGTACGATTCCTACAAAGGTAGTAAATATACTACGGTAAATATCATGAACAAATATCGCTACCTAATTCAAATGCATATCACTCACTTTCAGAAGTTCCAATTTCTTCTCTAGTTCCTCCTCCTCTAAATTCTGACTCTTCAATTCTTGAACCTTGATGTTATACGCAACCCCCACCTGTTAGTTAAAGCGCAGAGGTTAAAAACATAGAGTTAATGGTTAGATACTTAAAAACATGTTTGGATACAAGTTAAAGTCGTTTATGAGAACTTGTTTACTGAAAATAAAATATTTTTCAATAGAAAACTCTTTCAAATTTGTAATGAAATAGGTTCTGAGTTGAAACAAAAAACCGAATTAAGGTTGTTCGGACCATGTCAAAGGGACATCCTCTAGGAACACCTAGCCTACCATAATGATCCGCATCTGTAATTGCTGCATTCTAAACCACATCTTCATCAATTATATGCACTTTTTCGCGTAGGAATCAAATCAGACATTATGGTATTTCGACAAAACTTACGTAAGCCGCGGAGAATTCTTTCGACGTTAGCAGAAGAAATCAAAGATGGCGGTTCTTTTGGAACTTCGATGGAACTCTCTGATTCAACCTCTGTGTTTGAGGTCTCGGATGAGGAGTTTCTGATGCGTAGTGATCTACGCGGTTTCACAGTAAAAGCGATGGTGTTTGAGAAACCGAATTTTGGTGGTTGAGGGGTTGGAATGTTCTTAGCAGGGATGCATACTGTGGTGGTGGTGGAAGACATAGCCATTGCTTCAATTTTCTGTGGCACGTCTTTGGGCTCTGTTGTTAATCTGTTATTATCAAATCACACATGCATGGTGGGATAAGGCAACATTTCTTCGCCATTAAAAAGTTATCAGTTATGGACCGTATGAAGTTGTTATTAATTAGAGTATAACAGAGAAGCTCGCATTCAAGAATGTCGTTGTAGTATAGTGGTAAGTATTCCCGCCTGTCACGCGGGTGACCCGGGTTCGATCCCCAGCAACGGCGTTTTCGTATTATTTTTGGTTATATTATGTTTTCACAATACTACGTCGTTTACATGCCTTTTACCTTGGTGCAATTGGTTTTTATTTTTGTGTCTACCTCATGTTCTTCTTCTACTTTGACCGGTTTGACTTGACCCAAGTATTGGTTCTTAATATTCTAAAATTTGTGAAAGGCGCTAGCAACTGGGGGAATTTTCCTTTAGATTTAGAAAAAGTTAATCGTAGAGATATACCTTTAGTTGTCATAAACTGATCCTTGAGTTGGGTGAACCCCTACAGTTGCTCGAAGCTAACTTAGATATAATATGATAGTTTGTGCTGTTGTCGCTCATTCTCGTTTATGTTCTTAATGAAACATAAATGTGAACTTTATAGTCAGGAACCTTCGTTTATTCTATCAACAATCTGAGTTTCTAGCAGTTCATATTAATTATTAAGCATCATGGTAACTATGTTTCTTTTCTAGATGTTTTAGATTTATAATATTTGAACACTTTAATTTGGCTTATTTGCTGATACCAAATAATGAGAAGGTTTCTACTGATCCAATTTTGTGTAATTTCAGTTTAAGGGTTGCGTCGAAGTAATTTATCTACAGCTGCAAGTATTATTCACCAGACATACTTTTTGTGACCCATCCGAGATAAGGAGATAATAGATTCTTTTTTCAGTTAATTATTTTTACTGAGTATTAATTCAATTATTCAGTTCTTTGGGTGGTTGTGTTTGTACTACTTCATTTGTAGCACTCTAAGGGAACCTTTTTGTCTGTTGATATACTTTGGACACTTACATGCTTTAAAAGTTTTAAGTTTTATCTTTTACAACAATCTCAGTCCACTGTTATTTGCTATAGGACATGGTTTGCCTCTTTTAAGGGAAGAAGGTACCCTTGCATCTTCAGATACAGGCAAAGAAATTTGGGTTTGTGATTCTTCACCATCTGAGGTACAATAATCTCACAAGTCCATATTCCTACCCCCTTCCTTGTTTTTCTTTTAATAATGATATTTCTGTGCATGCGTTGAGTTTAGGCAGATGAAAAACTCAACTGTACAACACAAATGCATAATCATTACCATAAATACTTGGTACTCTTGAATTTCCTAATAATTTTTTCTCTCCTATGAATGTAGATTTCATGGGTTGAACCATGACACCATGCACATCTGCTCTCATTTTCTCTTATTCTATCTTGGAATTGTTTAACTGTGTACTTGTGTGTATTACTTGCACAGGTGATGCGTTGCTCTGTTTGTGTGTTAATTCCTCTTGGAGAAAACTTTGTGACCAATTTTTCATCATGAATAGCATTAGCTGAAATCCGTTTTTCTTTCTGTAGTCTCCACTCCCAAGCAACTACTGCCGCAGTCATATGCATATAGGAAGACAATATTAGACAGGTGTGCTTGAATGAAGTCGATTTATGGTAACTGCACCCTTCCATCAAGTAGATGATTTAACTGTAAATATAAATACAAACAACACAATACCCCTTTAATATTTCTGTTTTAGCGTTAGGAAAATTGTTTCTCTTTCGTCCATCTTATGTTTTTGTTAGGGTTGTTTTATGGTTTTATTGAGCTAGACATGATGAAATCCGCATTCAATATTCTATTTTAGAATTCAGTGTAGTCTACTCTATGCGGCTCGTCAAATGGACACAACTTAACCTCGTCAAAACAGTTCAATAAATAACTCATTACAATATCAGTGTCAGCACTTAAATGTATTGGATCTTGAATTAAAGTAATCGTTGTTTCAGGCTTCACAATGAGACTCACGTGTACAAGAAAGAAAATATTCATTCCTGGGCAGGGCTTGTCGTCTGAGGTTTTCTTAAGCCATAAAGGTTAAGGATAAATTCTTCTATACTTTACAGTATCGTACCAACTCCAAATTTTACTTCAAAAGTAATGTGAGGACACAAATTTAATTTTCATGTCACCTATCACTCATGTTTTTGAGGGACTCTGTACAACAGTCAAAAACTATGTAAGAATTCGCGCTATAGAATACAACTGTACTAGTATGGAGTGGCTGGAGGCTCAAAACATGCACAAGTAACGACACGTAAACTAAAATTTCACTCAACAATTTACGATTGTTTCATCAATTTGCTTCTACATATTCAAGTTAGGATTATTGTATTGGAATGATGAACTCATAACATATACGTTTGTATTGTGAATCAAGTTTTGAGGCATTCCTCTACTCAGAATTCTAATTATCGTTTCATCATAGTTTTTAACAGACAAACTGTGCGGATCTTTCTATATCAGAAACAGGAATCTCTTAGCAGGATCACCCATTAAACATAAACAGATCAAACCATGAAGTTCTGATTTTCCTATCAATGAAAAACCCCCGTTCAAACTTCAAACGCAATTCGGCAATTATATGTTATAAACTTCAGAAGCACAAGGAGAATATAAAGTGTAGCTGGGATATAGTAAGCACATAGCAGAACCAGTTGCATGAAACAGGAAGCGAGAACGATGAAAAGTACAGATAAACTAAAAGCATTGGGAGCATACTTTAAGCTCTCTTAACAGGATCAAAGTTGGAAACTCCAATAACGGCTCCAAATATGGCTCCTAGCAGAACCCCACCAGCAAAGATGCTGAGTAGAAAGTTCTTGAGTGATGGGGAGAAATCGGATCCAGCAGCGTGAGCCACCTCCGGAATCACCATAGAGGCTGTGAAGGAAGCTGCTGTGAGTCCGGTCACTGCCTTCTCCTTCAAGGATGCATTAATTTGAACCTTGGATTTTGAGAGAGGCTTTGTAAAGAGGGTCCTCTTCTGTTGTCTAAGGGGTAATGGCCTGAAGAAGGCTTCGGATGAAGGCTTGTTATGGGTGACAGAGCTCGGAGGTAATGCCGTTGGAACAGAAGCAGAAGCCATTTCAGGTGATGCCTTGGTTTTGCTTACCTGGCCTGCCTGGCCTGCAGATTCTGCTGAAGACGCTGGGAG